GCTGGGGAATTCTGGGAGTTGAAGTCCACACATCTTAAAGCATGGCTGGCTGGGGAATTCTGGGAGTTGAAGTCCACACATCTTCAAGCTGCCAAGGTTGAGAAACACTGGACTAGATTATCTCTAAGCTCCCTTCCAACCCTTCCATTCCATGATTCTATCTCAGTTTCATTGTTTGCATATTCAGCGTTTTCTCAAAGAATCACTTTAAAGATTATAATCCAGTGACAACTTTTGTGACCTCTCTGGGGGGGGTTTTGTGTGTGTGTGTGTGGGGGGGACACGCCTTATCTAGAGGGATGAGACATTTGGATTCCTCGAAGGCTTTAGGTCAGGCTGGGTGAATGGGGCCTTCGGCTACCACTTTAAGCCAGACCACGCCACGTCTTCGGCTCTGGGCAGCCTCTCACATCAGGGCTTGGCACTTGGGGCGCTGCTGATAACAGCCTTGGAAATGCTGCCCTTTAAAAATATGTTTTGTAGCCCACTTAGCGTGCAAAGATCTAGACAATTTAACGAGCTTTAAGGGGTGGCACTGTACACAGGCCACAAATCTTTTTGAAAGAGAAGGCGCTGCTTGACGCTGTTGACAAGCAGCTTCAGATAAAATGCGGAGGGATTGGGGAAACAAACTCAATTCTGGCTGGGTGGGTTTGCGCTTTACATTAGTCTGGGCACAAATGGGTTTGGATCGCGTGTGGTTCAGTGTGTGTTGGGGAACCCCAGCTATGTTCTTAGTATGTTGCGAGCATTTGGACCCAAATACGATTTCTGTGTTTGGACACTGCATAATACAGCAATGCAGCAATTGTACACTGTTGTAATCCCCAAAATACACACAAGCTGTGTTCACATGGGACCCAGGTTTCAGGTGAATGTATTGGATGTGTAATTTTGTGCATTTTTCAGATTGCAAGCTTCCCCTTCTTTCTGAAAAAGCATCTCAAGTGGAATTCCCAAAGCCCTCACCCCTGGAGGAGGGAGGCTTTTAACTGACCCCCATTCTTCCTTCCTTCCTTTCTTCTAGCGCATTTATTATCTTTCCTTGGAGTTTTACATGGGCCGGACGCTGCAAAACACGATGGTGAACCTGGGCTTGCAAAACGCCTGCGATGAAGCCACTTACCAGGTTTGGGGGCCGCTCTTGAGGTGATTGGGGAGGGAGGGGGAGGAGGAAAGGGGGGGCAGCTTTAGGGCACGTGATGACGGAGGAGGGCGAAAAAGTTTGTCAAGTTTGGCCCCCTGCGTTTTGCACTAAGGGGAGTGATATTCTCACCCTCCCTTGTTGGGTCACAAAATTGAAATTATTCTCTTTGTTCCCTCTGCAGCTGGGCTTGGATATGGAGGAACTGCAGGAGATCGAGGAGGACGCCGGCTTGGGCAACGGCGGATTGGGGCGACTGGCAGGTTAGCAGAAGTGAGGGGCAGATCAGGTGCCCTTGGTGGGCAAAAGTTCCTGGAAAGATTGTCCTTGTCAGCGGAGAGCAGAAAGCGAAGAAGTTTGCTAGCACTGCTTCCGACTGAGCGATTTGATTCAAAGGCAGAAGCTTTTGCGAGCCGATGAAGTGATGAGTTCATGAAAGTGTCTGCTGTTGAATAAAATGGGTTTGTCGAGGAAGGTGCTCCCAGGCTGCTCCCGATTTTAAGATCCTTCCTGTCATTGTGAATCAAGGGATCTTGGTGTCTTCAGCCTCCAAAGAATGATTTTCAGCATGCGTTGCTATACCAGTTGGACAGCATGAGAATTGCAGCACAAAAGACTCAGCAGGTAGCGGGTTGCTGACCTGTAGTATACAAGGAAACGTTACAGCAAAGGGCTGGTCTGGGATAAGGGAGCATCCTGCGTGCCTGTTTAAAGCAGCTCTTTCTTTAGAACCATGAGGGCTGGAACCTTACTTCGTTTTTAGGAAAGAGCTGTTGAGCCGGAGGAAGTGCCCAGTTTGGCCCCAAGTAAGGCTGAGAAAAATCCAGTTTGAAATCCTGGGGATCAGTCGGTGTCATTGATAGAAAATAACTCACTTTCTGGATCTGCGCAATGCAGGAAATGATAAATTAATGAGTAGGCTGGGTTGGCACAATGAACTAAGCCACAGAAATCCGTTTAGAAGCCAAGCATGAAGGAAGCTGCTGGGTGTTTCACAGACCTGGTTGAATACGTTGTGAGAACGCGGCCAACGTGGCTGCCTCTTCCATCTCACTTCCAATGTCCGCAAATTTCAGTTTGGGCGCCCTCTTCGCTTCTGATACCAAGCCTGACTTGGAAGTTAAGCTGAATTGGCTTAAGCCTCAGGAGAAGACAATACAGGAGGGGCTTTACAGAGCAAGGGCGCCTCTGCTTTAAAAATCTCAGAATCATTAGGATGGGACCTCAGAAGACCATCTAGTCCACCCCCTGAATTGCATAGAGGTGACCATCGAGGGTGGCTGTTTCCCACAACCCAGCCCAGTTAGGGGCTGATCTATAATGTATTCATGCATTATGCTGAGCTTGGCTGATTTTAACCTTTGTCAGGTTGTTTTTGTAAACTAGAATATCATGCAAATTCAGCCCCCAAGTGTGGTGCACAAACCCAGCCTGGGGAGATCCAGTGAGAGAGATTTATTAAAAATAAAGTCTCATTTGAGTTGAGTGCAGCTCCTGAGATGATCTCATGGACCCTCCATGCTGTTTGCTTGCCACTAGTATGGAAGTCATTAACCATGTCTGCCTTTGAAGATGTCCTGTTGGTCTCCCGTCCAAGTCTAAACCAGCTGAGTTTTTCAAGGCCAGCCATTTCAGAGGATCAGATTTTGGGTGGCCCTTCTTCCTCCGGTGTACTACCCAAAGGGTCACTCAAGCAGCTTCTCTACAACCCCCTCATTTCACAAGCCAAACTGAGCATGGTTTGCACAACCAGCTAACCCCTAATGCAGCTTGTCCATTTTTATCTTCTGTGCAATTTTACAACCCATGGTATCGAGCGCTGAGTGAAACCAAGCCACCATGCCTTTTGTAGAACTCACTTTAAACTGCAGTTTAGCTTAGATCTTGGTCCTCTTTCACTTCTGGTCAATGGTCCTCTTGTGGGTTTCCCCGCTGCCCCCCAGCTTGCTTCCTGGACTCCATGGCGACTCTCGGTTTGGCTGCTTATGGCTACGGGATCCGCTACGAGTTTGGCATTTTCAACCAGAAGGTCTGTGGGGGCTGGCAGGTGGAGGAAGCCGACGACTGGTTGCGCTACGGAAATCCATGGGAGAAGGCCCGTCCGGAGTACATGATCCCCGTCCACTTCTACGGACACGTGCAGCATGGCAAGGATGAAGTGAAATGGGTTGACACTCAGGTAAGCACCTTTTGGCCAACCTGCAGGAGAATGTGCTTGCACACCTCCCCCAAGACAGCCACAGCTCCCCAGAGATACAGCCCATAGTTTCTCCGTCCAGCATTCACACCAGACATTTCACTTTATCCCTCAGTGCTCCTGTTCCGAGTTCCTACAGTACATTAAATTGTAAACTAATCCAGGGTGTTGAGTTCCCACAACATCTCAGCCACTGAAAGAACCCCTAAATCTAATCAAGGTTAGCACTTAGCTTGTTGTGAGAATGTAAACCTTGGGTTGGTTACTGGTATAGTAAATAATGTTGGGTAAATCCAACCTCCTTGTCTTCCAGCGGTTGACCTGAGAAATTCAGGAAGCTCCCAGGGGGAGGGGACGATCCTCTTCCAACACTGGGGATTTAAATTCTACCTGTAATTTAGGAAACAGAAATAGCAATCAAGACTAGTTACTCCTAACAGCTTCATCCAATCTCTTTTTAAATCCATTTAAATTAGTTTCTTCTGGTGGCAGAACTCTACTGTTCATCCTTGGAGTAAAAAGATCTTTTAAAAAAAAATAGCGGCTAAATTTCTAACGGATGACTCCAGATTCTGATGAAAAGGCCTTTTCATTGTCCTCGTCGTCCCATCATTTGGTCTATCTCCAATACATTTCTGGACTTCTTCAAGAAGTCCTAAATGCTACATGCTGAAGACAATCAGATTGAATTTCCAAAGGGAGTCGCCTTTCTAGTTCAGATCGGATCAAACTGGATACCTTTGAGGCAATTCAATAATTTGCAAGTTCCTTTTTTCCAATCGCTTTAGTCAGTTGAATTGATTTTCCCATCAAATCAGCAAATTAGATCAGGGCTGAACTGCTTAACTGAGCTAATATTCCCAGACCTAAATGGTCACGATGAAGGTCAGAACCTTGAGTTTATTTCCTTGGCAATTACTCCTACTCACGCTTTTAATTCCAAAATTACTTAACCAGTGATACGGGAAGGGTTGGGGAGGGGGGAGAAAAAAGTTGCTGCGATCTCATCAGAAAGAAGATGAGAGATCTAGTAAAAAAGGCCGCTGCTAAGTTTCTTTCTGTAACTTTCAGAGTTGCCCTGTGGCTTTCATAGTACTGCCAGATTTTGCACCGAAGGAATGGTGGCAGGCTGATCTTATTTATTTATGTGTCAAATTTATATGGCCGCCCACCTCACACAAGGTGACTCTGGGTGATGTACAATTAAAACATATTATAAAACCCCTTAAAACACTTAAATAATTAAAGGTAAATAAAAACAAGATTGCAAGAGGGTTAAAATCACAACGTTGTACATGGTGCCGCCAACACGCGGCTCTCTGCTGCCAGGGGATCCCCAGGCCCGATGAAAAAACACATTTTGAGAGCTTTCTGGAAGGCCATAAGGGTTGGGGCCAACCTCACCTCGGGAGGTGATGTTCCAGAGGGTGGGTGCCACAGCAGAGAAGGCTCTCCTCGGGGGTCCCGTCAGGTGGAACTCTTTAGCAGACGGGACCTGCAACGTGCCCAGCTGCCAGATCTGATGGGACGGGCAGATGGAACCGGGGAGACAGGCTCCATGCCATGAGGGTCTTTAAAGGTCAACACCAGCACCTTGAATTGCACCCAGAAGCAAACTGGCAACCCGTGCAGCTCACGGAGCAGAGGTGTGACGTGTGTCCTCCTGGGGACTGATCGTAGCTACTTTTCCCAAGACCGGGACTGACTCCCCCTTGCCATCCCTGTTTCCATGCAGGTGGTGCTTGCCTTGCCCTACGACACTCCCGTGCCTGGGTATCGCAACAACACAGTGAACACGATGCGGTTGTGGTCTGCCCGGGCCCCCAACGAGTTCAACCTGAAGGATTGTAAGTAAGACCGACTTGAGATTTGAACTGATCTGAGATGACCACAGATCCTGGGGACTCTGGAGAAGTGGACAGGGTTCTCGGCGGAATGAAGTTCCCGTTCTGTGGGACTGACTCCTTGCCCCTCCTGCTTTGCATGGACTGCTGACGAGGAGATGAGGAACTAGGCTGGGTGGATATGCATCTCCCTTTGAGGGAGAGGGGGACACCACTAGCCTCGAAAGAGGCAGTAGCTTAGCCTCTCCTGAAGAGGCCACCTTCAGCCCAGCCATTGGGGCAACTGAGGTCCATCTCCAACCTTCTCCTTTTCGAGAAGATGGGGAGGCCCTCAGTGAAGTGGAGTAGCTGGACCTCTTTCGGTCTGAATTTCGGCCAGACATGGATGAAAACCTCCTTGGTTGCTCTTGGAAATGCAGGTAGTCCTCATGATGGTAATTGGGACCAGCAACTCCATCACTAAGCGACGCGGTCGTAAAGTGTGATGTCATGTGACCATGCCGACTTACAATGGCTGTTGCGGCAGTTCCAGTTGCCGTTGTTAAGCGAATCACCTGTGGTCATTTGTGACCTCCTGCTGGCTTCCCCACTGATTTGCTTGTCAGAAGCTGGCAGCGAAGGCCACAAATGGCAATCATGTGACTGCGGGGATGCTGCAACAGCCACAACTTTGAGGACTGGTCGTAAGTCTCTTCGTTCAATGCCTTCGTAATTTTGAATGATCGCTGAACGAGTGGTCATTAAGCGAGGACTACCTGTAATCTTTGGTGGGACCTAGATTGGGGCAATGAGTTGCTCCTTGTCCTGCCTGACCTTGAAAAGCACTCAATACAATCGATCCTAGTATCTTTTTGGACTGTTTTCAAAAGCTGGGAGTTGAAGGTGGCTCGATTCCTCCCTAAGTGGGCAGTTTCAAGCGATGATAGCTGGGAGGGAGGGGATCAAGCCCTTGGGCACTCCAGATGGGGAGCCTTGGGGTTTGACTCCCCCCGCCCCTGCCAATTCTGGGAGTTGAAGTCCACACATCTTCAAGTGGCCACGGTTGAGAAACACTGCCTAGGGTTTAGCCTTTAGTAGAGTGTGGGTTTCAAACAGAACAATATTGTCAACCTGTTTGCTGTTGGAAAATATTCTAACTCAGCTGGCGACTCCATGTTATGCAGATGGAAAGACCCAGATTTAAATCTTGGTAGGCCTGCAAAATGATTCTCTCTTTTGAAACCCTGGAAAACTGCTGCCAGGGTGTATAAGCAATATTAGACAAAGTGGGCTCGCTTCAAGGCAGTTCTGATGTTTCTGATTAAATCACCGCTTTATTCAGAACCTTGAGGACTGGAACCCTACTGTCTTTTTGTTCAAGGGAGATAGGAGAGAAGCTTTGCATGCAGAAAAGTCCGGGTTCCACTTCCAGCTGAAATGATAATAGTAATTGATATTCGGCTCTTGCTTTGAAGGAATTTCAGAGTGGTGCATGGAAGAATGCAAAACTAATTTGCATTAAACCTATCTCCATGTGATAATCTACAGTGAAGTTGTAACAATGCAGCCTATGGTCATAAAACAAAATACATTAGAGGCAGCTGCATTTGAAAGCAGATTTTATCCTGCAAAGGCCCAGGAGAACCTACGTGCTTTAAATGGACATGCTAAACTCAAAGACAGGTTGCCCAGCCCAACTTTCTTCACCTGGGGCACAAGAAGGCCCCGTTTCTAGTCCTAATGATGTTTTTATTTCAGGTTTTGAAGTACCCTGTGATTCATTAATTTACGTTGTATTAATTCGTTCTTTTCTCCCTGTTAAAAAAAATCTTCCCTTCTCTAGTCAACGTTGGTGGCTACATTCAGGCAGTGCTGGACCGAAATTTGGCAGAGAATATTTCTCGTGTGTTGTATCCCAATGATAACGTAAGTACCTTTTCCTGTTTCTTCAATGTCCCAGGGAACCTCTAAATTGGTGTTTCTCAATCTCA